AGTCTGGGGAGATTCATGCCGATAGCCAAAGGCACGATTGGCGTTTTTAGTCCGCGGCTAGAGAAAATAACCAATCGGGGCTTCGGTTGTCATCTCCATGTCACGCCGTAGTCTCCGTAGTCTCCGACGACGGCCCGCTGACGGGGAATTACGGAGAGAGTCGTTGGAGAAGTTACCAGTACCTTACGGAGTACTATGTTTCCCATCTGTGGAAAGCAATGTTGTTCTTATCTGTTCTGCCACTAAATTTCGGTGTATCATGCTGGAATGCTATATAGTGTTTACAAGAATAGTCGGCCGCTTATGTAGCTCCTGTACTTGACGATGTAAGTCATGAATACTTCCAAGGTTTTAATATCTAGTTGGCTTGAGATGATATTTGAGACCTTCTATTTAACTACTGCAATTTCTTTTAGATGTTCTTTCAGTTTTCTATTTCTTCTCCTCGTTGGAATTGGAGATGAAGTACTAGTAGTCTGTGGCCTGGTAGTTTTCATGGGCCATGTACTTCTGGGCAGGAGTCTAGGCCTTGGCCTTGTACTTATTGGACCATAGGATTCCGTTTTGTGTTTTGTACGCACGGCGGCCGGACTACTCGATAATTTGAAAATTTCTCAATTATGGCACTTAGATGAATGCAAATAGAAACTCCCAAGTAAGATTAAATCAAGCTGCACCGCGCATGTCATGCAAATGGATATCTAAATGAACACCGAAGTTGCAGGACCCATCAACTCCAATCGTCAGGTCATGTACCACGCAAGCTCCATTATTGGGCATAATCGAAATTCATCCCACGGCATTTCAACCAGAATGAACGTACAATATCCAGAGACGGTTTCTGACCACCTCTAGCAATGGCGAGAGACTCCAAGAACCGCGACTTGTCTTGCGCCGATAGGAGCGGCACTTGTTGTCCGTTTGCATCAGTGACCTGGGCGTCCAAAGAGTCGAGCGCAGCCTTCATAGCCGGGCGCGCCAATGCCATTTTCTTGAAAACAGTGCGTCGCAGAGCATCGTTCAGAGAGACCAAGTCTGATCTTGCGCATCGGCCTGCAATCTGCTGGATGATTGTGTAACACAGACGGGGAATAAACTCATGATGGACTGATTCGAGTATGCTCATTTCTTCTGGTGAGCTGCCGCGGAGATCTATTAATGCAACCCAGAATGCAGAAGCAGATTTAAGAGGAAGAGGTTCAGGTCGTGTCAATGCGTGAAGTGTGAAGTGAAGAAGCACAGCCAGAGGAGATTCCGCGCTCAGATTTGACTTCATGGGAGTGAACAATATCGGATAGTACTTTGGTAAAAGACGTGTGAGGAAATCAATCCCGGCATTAGCGGTCTCTGGGTCATACACGTCCGGATTTTGGAGCATCGAAGAGAAGAGCTGGGCTACATGGTCGATGAGCGCCTCGGCCTCACTGCGAATGTTCATTGCATGCCGAGCGTGAGACGCCAAAAATGACGAGGCGGTCGCCATGATAACATCTGTCCCGGAGATACCGAGGGGAAAGCTCTTGATAAAGTCCACTGTCATAGAGGGCGGGAAGACAAAAAGTCCTGCCCGCTCAGTGTAACCGGCTTTCAAGATATCGCATGCTGCTTCAATGATGCTACTGTCCACGGGGAAGTCAACAATCAAAAGTCTCATGGCCTCCATGATCAGCCGCTGGGCTTCGGCGCCAGGCCCGGAGTTCCAGAAGGATGGAGGATATGGGTTTCCTTCCTTTGTAAGCTCGATATCGATGACTTCGCTCTCTGAACGAAGACCTTTTCCGATACTCGCAATGCAGCTCAGCACAAGGTGGGCACGTTGACGGCCAAATTCATGACCGGGTCCCGTAACTTCTTCCCGCGCTGTGTTAGCTTCCTGAACAAAGAAGCCGAGAATTCTCTCTAGCGTTTGTACCTTTTCCTGGTCACTATGCAAGCACTGGATGATGGTCGCGATTCCTTCCAGGACCTTAGGCATGGTGGGAACAGTTGCCGTCGGCTTGCTTCTGAACTGGTCCAGTTGGTCTAAGAACGCAGGAAGATCTGACGTCAAGACGCGAGCACACGATTTTGAAAGAGTCAATATAGACCTCGAAGCGGCGTGCGCACACAATTCGAAGTTGAGTGATTCGAACAGGATGTTTAGAACACCGGGAAGTAATGAACTGTGACGTTCAAAGTATGATTCATACTTTCCGAATGAATCCACCAGGGTCTGACGGGCCTTGAGCGGTATTTCAGTCTCCCCACCTGCGCAGAGCCTGGCAAAAGCATCGCTCCCAAAGATGGCGTCAAGACACTGATCGGCGTGCCCATTCTCATCCACTGCTTCTGAGAGCTGAGCTATGCAGAACATGGCAGTCTCGAAATTGCGCCAGTCCCGGCTCTCCAGGCAGGACGTGGCGCTTCTCTGGAAGACGGTTACCAGGTCAACGCCAAGGACGGGGTATGCCGAAAGTAAGTAATCACAGGCATCATGGCGGAAGGCACCGAATTCACTCCGCTCTTCCTCGCCCCAGTCTTCCAGATCTTCGGACTTGGGATATAGCAGTTTGCTGGAAAGACCTAAGACAACTTCGGCTAGATGTGACTTTACCAAGTCATACCTAGAACTGCCTTCTTCGAGTTTACCAGGGAGACTCTCTGCGATGTCGTTCCAGAACTCCAAGACACGTGGGGTTCCAAGATCGTCAATTGAAGCATAGCCAGGAGTCTTGAAAATTCCATGGACAAGTGCGAGGATCGCTGCATTTTGTGGGGTCACGGGGTCTTTGAAGACATCCAAGTGCAAATGCGAGACGTATGCAATCAGCAGGTCAACAAACGACATGCTCTCCACTCCTTCATCGCCACTCCTCACGGCAGCAATATGAGCTGTTACGATTGAATCAGCAAGGATCTCAGAGATAAGCCACAATGAGTTGTCGTCAAACGCCCAAGGGCGGCTTTCAAAAGCTTGGGTCAAAATAGAAGCTGCACTTTCACTCAAGCTGGGTACCCTCAATGTCTCAATGACGGTATGGCCACATCGCACCGCCAAGACATTGACATCTTCAGCAGAAGAACGTTGGCGATTTCCATGGACGCCTAGCCAAGTCTGTGAGATGGAGTCAAATCAGCGATCCCACTCTTCAAGATGGAAGTACCAGGAACCGAGATTAACTCACCTTCCATGAATTCATGGCTTCAGCCGCTAGTGCCACGTCAACTGCATCATCCCCGGCTGTCTTTGCATGCTGTATAATCTGCCCAAGGACAAATTGAACTAGGAGCAACCCATCCTTAATGTTGTGTATGGCTCGCTGGATGGTGGAGGTGTCTCCCGTCCCATCCTGGGGCTCAGAGTCCAGTCGGAGAGCCTCCTCGGCTAGTGCAATCGAGAAAAACAGGAGTGCACCCGATCCACTCTTGCTCAACGCTGGCAGTATCCGCTCCTGAAAACCCACCCCTCGTGATTCCTCCTCGGATACGTATCCACCATGGACAAGGCTTGCAGCCAGCTGCCAAACAGCCTGTTTCCATGGTGTGACCGGATGCCTGAAAATGGCAACCAAGCTTGAGGCAAGCTTTCTCACAACCATTGCTTGTTCACCATTGGTCGCCAAAGCAACAAAACGATTGATCAAGTGCTGCATGATCTCTGTAGCCGAATTTAGGTCGATTTCATTCCTAATGGTATCCGACATCAGCAATCAGCGACACATAAGTGTGAGCTCGAAGTAGTGCAGATCAGATAGATCGACCGTACCATGAGACATTGATCTTCACTGTGAATGTAAGGGCCCCCATGAAACGATGCTGGGCAGAGTGTTCACTTTGCAAAAGTGAATCAGCAATTGCCCATGCATTCTCAGTCTTCTGAAGTTGCTGGAGACGCGTCTGGATCTCATTAATTCTGGCGGGGTCCCGTTGGTTCGCTGGGTTATAGAGCTCGGTAACCAGCTGGTTCTTTGTTAGCCGTTGGATGTCAGACGTAGACAAGGCACACATACAAGATGGGCTTCCAAGCTTGACTCTCTAGCCCCAAGACCCTCTTCAGACATCCATGTTGCCATTTTGTGTTGGCAAGCGCGTGGTTGTGAAAAAGAAAAAGAGGAGTGTACATATACAAGCACGGTGGGCTATGACGGGCAGAATCTAGAGTTTGTATCACTTGGCCAATCAGCGTCAAGGCGGCTTTCAGAGCGGTAACTGCGGGGCTCATCCTCTGGTTTCTGTGCACGTGACCGCTTTTGGAGCTATAGATATGTTGAACGTCTCAGGCAAATAGCAGGCTATGCAATATATTACATGTTATATTTACATGAAAAAGTCGATCCAAAAAAAGAGCCTACATAGTACACATATCAAGTAAGATATCAATGTCTCTTCTGCTTTCAATATTGACCTTCAACAATAAGCTTGTTTTCCCAAGCTTTTGATGTCTTCTGTAGAGTGTTTACTCCTTCCCTCCCCTCTCAATTCCTTGATTACCTGCTTTGTCCTCATGCTCCTGAATATTGTTTTGGCACATCCTCAAGCTTTTGGCGTCATCCTAACAGATGGAACTTGATTCGGAAATACCAAGCACGAGGCATTGCTTACTTCTACCAACAAGTTACAGGTCATATTAGCGCTCATTGCTTCGAGGGTATCAAGCTTGGCCTAGGTAAATAATTAGTATAATACCATTGTCGATGGCACTCAAAGTGAGATAATATCAATATCCAAAACACAGGGAGAAAAATTGAAACGAACAATGCGATTGTGTATAAATGTCCCAGAATGTCCCTCTCTATTAGAAAAGAGTGCAAACATGACAACACAAAGTGGGCCGTGTGTAGCCGCGCCGGAGATCGCTCTGTGGCCAAAAGCCTACTTGGTAAAAGGCCACTTACACGGAGCCCACACGACCTGCGGAATTAGCTTATCGCGCACTTATCTGACGCGTCCAATCCCTGCTTCGCTTAGCTTTTCGAAAGCTAACAGGTTGAGGAAGGATCTCTTGGAGTTTACCAGTGTCCATGCTCCTCTCCCATCCAATTCGCCTTTGGACATCTTTGCGATCGCTAAGGCCCCTCCCTCGTCCAAGATACTTCTCCGTTTTCGGTCCACGCTACACAGTCGATATGGGGGCCGTGGATACCTCTGACCGCCTGTCAAAGCTGAGGCAGTTGATGCAGCAGCACAAGGTGGATGTCTACAGTATGACATCATCTCTGTTTCCCAGTGGGTTGCTTAAAACTCGAGTTGTGCTTATCAGATTCGTATAGTTGTGCCCTCAGAAGATAGCCACCAGTCCGAGTACATTGCGCCATGTGATGCCCGCCGAGGTCAATAAGCGCCCTCCTCGTTGCTTCGCCCGCGCCGACGGCTAACATTCCTATAGAATTCATTTCGGGATTCTCTGGCTCCGCCGGTACCGCAATTATCTCCCTGAGCAAAGCTGCACTGTCCACCGATGGACGGTACTTCAACCAAGCCGCGAAACAATTGGATAACAACTGGCAGCTCTTGAAGGGTGGAGTTGAGGGTGTGCCAACATGGCAGGAATGGTACGAGATGACAGTCGTGCGAGGATGATCTGTACGGGAACTGATCTTGTTGATAGGACCACGGAAGAGGCCCAGGGAGGCAAGGCTGTGGGCGTTGACCCTTCTCTGATCACAGCCTGTGAGTGTTATCACACCGGATGTAGAAGTGTATAGTGATGCTAATCGTCAATAGCTGGTGCACGGAAGTTGGCAGAGACCCTCAAAAAGAATGGTTCATCTCTCGTAGGGGTCCGGGAGAACTTGGTCGACTTGGTTTGGGGCAAGGAACGCCCGGCGCGTCCCAGCGAGAAGGTGCGCGTTCACCCCGAGAAGTATGCCGGCAAGGCGTTCCAAGAAAAGGTGGCCGAGCTGCGGAAGGAACTTGAGTCAAAGAAGAAAGCCGGATTCGTCATCTGTATGACCCCGCATATATCTCAGCCCTGCAGAGTGACTAATTCATTGCAGCTATGCTCGATGAGATTGCTTGGCTGTTCAACCTGAGAGGAACCGAGTAAGAACAGTGTCTTTATCGTGATGCGTCATCGGCAATTGACTGATTCTGAGCAGTATTCCCTACAACCCCGTGTTTTTCTCTTACGCGATTATTACGCCCACCACCGCTGAGATCTACGTCGAGGATGACAAGTTGACGCCAGAGGTCAAAGCTCACTTGGGAGAAGACGTTGTCGTTAAACCATACGAATCCATCTTTGCTGACGCCCAAGCCCTCAGTACCAAAAGCCAGTCTGCGGGTGAGAGCGCCGCGAAATTCTTGTTGTCGAACAAGGCTTCTTGGGCTCTCAGTCTTAGCCTTGGTGGCGAGGGACAGGTGGAAGAGGCCCGTAGCCCAGTCGCGGATGCAAAGGCTGTTAAGAATGAAACCGAACTCGAAGGAATGCGGGCATGCCATATCCGCGATGGTGCTGCCCTGACCGAGTACTTTGCTTGGCTTGAAAACGAGCTTGTCAACAAGAAGACTGTCTTGGACGAAGTCGACGGAGCTGACAAGTTGGAACAGATTCGCTCTAAGCATGATCTGTTCGCTGGTCTCTCCTTCGATACCATCTCGTCAACTGGGCCCAATGGTGCAGTCATCCACTATAAACCCGAGAAGGGAAGCTGTGCTACCATCGATCCCAATGCCATCTATCTCTGCGACTCTGGTTGTCAATACTTCGATGGAACGACCGACACAACGAGAACGTTCCACTTCGGCGTTCCCACAGAGTTCGAGAAGCGTGCTTTCACGTTGGTGCTGAAGGGAACTATTGGAATCGACATGGCAGTGTTTCCCAAGGGCACCAGTGGCTTTGCAATTGACGTGTTGGCGCGCCAGCACTTGTGGAAGGAAGGCTTGGACTACCTTCACGGAACAGGCCATGGCGTTGGCTCCTATCTGGTGAGTATTATCCCTGATCGGACACCTCGCACGTTGCTAATCTCTGTTTAGAATGTCCACGAGGGTCCTATTGGCATCGGGACTCGGGTTCAGTATACGGAGGTCCCCATTGCAGCTGGAAACGTCATTTCGGATGGTTTGTCTCTCTTCCTCGATTTACTGCAGTCCGAAACTAATTCTGACATAGAACCCGGATACTACGAGGACGGCAAATTCGGTATTCGAATTGAGAGTGAGTTGTACCGCCTGTGACTGCAAAATTGGAAAAAGTACTAATCCCTCTCTTTATAGACATCGTCATGGCTCGCGAAGTTAAAACTGCCCACAACTTTGGTGACAAGCAGTGGCTAGGCTTTGAGCATGTTACGATGACTCCTATTGGTCGCAACCTGATTGAGCCGTCGCTTTTGAGCGATGCCGAGCTTAAGTGGGTAAATGACTACCACGCTGAAATTTGGGCGAAGACAGAGCACTTCTTCCGGGCGGACAATCTGACTCGCTTGTGGCTCAAGCGCGAGACCCAGCCTATCTCGAAATAAGTGGGCTACGCGTTGATGGGCAGTGGTTTGATATCCACTGCTATTGATTGGACAGCATGTAGAATACAGCCTAGAATACATAATTTCGATGCTGTATCCAGAAATCAACAATTGAGAGTGAATCAAAATACGAAATTGTAATGATGGTCTATGGTACACCTTGTAGGCTTTCCGACTTTCATTTTCATAGTACACTGACAACTGGCAATGGAACGGAATGCGGGAAGCTCTGGTGGAGCCTGACACTCCGCCCCGGTCTGTTTCAACACGATCACCACGGCATCACCGAATTGCTTCCAGCGCTCCCTGTATTTCATAGCTAAGAATGCTCGCAGCTTCTCGCCAATTGTTGTGCGCAAGTTACAGGACCTAATACTGAACCCTTCTGGCTAACAGCCCCACGCCAGCCCCTTGTCACATCCCACCAACGCTTCCATACTGAACCAGAACACCCCGTGCTTAGCGGGTATCGTTTGGAATGAGCGGCCAAAACGGTTATGGTAACGGGTATGGCTACTCCGGTTCCGGCCGGTACGACGGCAACGATGGGGGATACGGTGGAAACGGCAACCCTGGGGTAAACGGATACGGTGGACGAGGTGCCGCACCACCAGGCGGAGGCGCACGTTCAGATCGTCGCCCCGGCGGATACGGAGGTTTCTACCCTGATGCACCTCAGCCACCGGCGCTATCGCCAGGCCAATCTCCTGCGCCGAGCCAGTCGCCCGAGCGGCGGCGTGATCGAACGAACCGGGACCGGCAGCAGCCCTCTCCGCAACCCGCGTCGCATCCCTCGTCGCAAGGCTCTTCGCATCCCTCTTCACGGTCACGCACAAGAAACCAAGAATCTGACAGGAAGCACCAGGAAGAACGGTCTAGAGATGCAAGTCGGTACGCGGACAACAGGGGCCAAAGAGACCAAAGAGACCCGAGAGGCCAAAGGGATCACAGAGACCAGAGAGAACAAAGGGAACTGAGGGACCAAAGGGAACACAAGAGCCAGAGGAATGCGGACCCCGTGGTTAACATGAGCAATGACTCGGGGGAACCCCAGGCCATTGAAAGTATGTCTTTCTCTTTTGATTAGTTTGGCCCAATAGCTAACCTAGCTACCTGCACAGCGATTCTCCAGTCTATCCAGCGCGACTGGGATTTCATGACTGATGCCGAGTGTATCCCGGTACATGTTGCTTTGAGTTTGATGGACACGAGTACGTTGGGCAAAGCAGATCGTGAACCGGAATTTTTGCACATGTACAATGACATCCAGAAGACATTGAAGGCAATTGTCAATGGTACGTACTATCTGCAGTGGTTAGGACAGGCATATGCTAAAATTGCATGTTATAGAACACCACCAGGGATTCAACAGCTCTATTGGAACATATCACAAAATCCAATCCAATATATCTTCCTCGCAAGCTCGAGTGCGCAGCCTGAGACATGCCCTCGACCAGGCCAAAACCGGGTTAATATCGACCAAGCCCGAGTTGAAAGGGCTGGCAACGTCTTCTCAGAACTACGACGATATAGTACAGCTGTTCACTCAGATTGAGGAAATTCAGTCCCTTCCTGAGAGATTGGAATCTCAGATTTCAGATAAGCGTTTCCTTGCAGCTGTGGACGTGCTTCACACTGGTCTCCGAGTTCTACGACGTTCGGAACTGGAGGATATTGGAGCTTTATCCGATATTCGCGCTTATTTCGTAAACCAGGAAACCTCGCTCACCGACATCCTGATCGAGGAGTTGCACGACCATTTGTACCTTAAATCACCCTATTGCTCAGATCGATGGAAAGCACCCACATCTGATGAAAAAGATGTGCATACATCTAATTTGGCCGGTAGTCGCTCTTGGGAACGGCCTGTGTATAGTTTCCTGGCCAAGTTCGATCCCTTGACGCCTATGGTCGAAGACGCCTCCCGGAACCCGGAGGCAGACACGTTTTCCTACATCCAGTTATTGATCGAAGCGCTGAACAAGATGGGTCATCTTGACGTCGCAGTTCATAGAATTGAGCAACGCCTTCCGGTCGAACTGTTTGCTGTGGTGGATAAGACGAACGCAGAGGTTGATACTCGCTATCCTGCGCCAACCAAGAGCTTCTCAGCCCAGGACAACTACAAACAGTCCAGTCTCCCCACCGAGGTTATTGAACAACGGGGCCACGTGCTTTCTGAGTTTTTGTGGGCACTATATGCCAAGTTCGAGGCAATTGCGGAAGGCCACCGAATTCTTCACGATGTTGTTGCCGCCATTGTGGAACGAGAAGGTCTAGTCAAAAGCGAGACGCTTTCTGGTGGATTCAAGGAGTTGTGGAAACTTCTACAAAGCGAGGTAAGACGCCAACAGCCTCGACAGGCATCGCGGATATTAATTTGTTTCGCCAGATACGATCACTCATGCACGACTATCTTGCAACCGATGGGGACTCTTCTGTTCGATCTAGAGCAGAGGAGAATGACTCTCGACGTCATCTATACACAGGCAACCGCGATAAGAATAAGGTGAAGAGACCAGCACTTCCGTTATTTTCAACTAGCTGACCATTTGCATTGTAGAAAATGTTCAAGTTGTCCGATATTGAGCAAAATTCTGAGATGAAAGCTGAACAAGACGAATTGGATGAAATCCTCAAGTCGTCAGTGCCAGGACTTGTTTCTAAGTCCAGGCAAAAGGCCGCAACAAGTGACACTACGCAATCTAATAAGGGCAACTCCGGGACTGGGCATAAGATTTTGCTCGAGCCAAGTGTCTTCAATATGGGAATCCTTCTTCCTCCCTCCCTATCGTTCATCCAGCGGCTTAAGGATATCGTTCCTGTTGATTCGGATATTTCCATGGGCAGTTTGACCTCCTTTTTGGATGACTTCATGGTCAATGTCTTCCTGCCGCAGTTGGATGAAACAGTGACGGATCTCTGCACGCTCAGCTTCATCGCCGCAGATGCGTTTACAGAAGACCCCCACTGGGCTAAGTCCTCTCCTCGGCCTATTTTCAAGGGAACGGTCAAATTTATGTCCATTGTTCGCGAGTTTAGCAAGATGCTGTCGAGTATCCCACATGACCAAGCATTCACGCAGCTTCTTATTGATCAGATCGTGACCTATTATGACAAGTGCTGTGGGTGGTACAAAGCAATGGTTACGAAAGTCTCCGCACGGAACCGTGGAGGCGAAGTCCAACTGAAAGCTGCGGCTTCCTTTGCTGATTCGGGCGATATCCATGATGTTGTGGGTGAACTGTGGAAAGGCGCCAGGGACAAGAAACAGACCCTGATTGATACGGAAATCGACCTTCTTCTCAAGCGAACAGGGGAAGTGCCTTTGCAGCCTTACGACATCATATCTGACCCGAAAACTGTCATTTCTCTTTCGCTCTTGTACAACAGCATGCAATGGCTTGCAAGTCACCTCGCGAGAATCCGACTTGTGGTTGAACATACCGCGGATGCCGAGTCATCCAGTTTGACTGCAACTGGCCGGCCATCTCGGAGATGGACTTTGTTCGGGTCCATGAAGACCAATCGCGATAGCATCAATAACCCGGTGCATTTGCCACTTAACCACGAGACTGCAGTGGTCTTTGATGGGACGCTCCAATCACTTCACCGGCTTGGGGATACTGCAATTATGACGATGCATGTTGACATCCGCTGTGGCATCATCCACATGTTGACTAAAACAATGTCCGGACCGAATCCTCCTAACTTGCGGAACTCTGAGCCTTTTACTCCATCCCCAAACACAACGGACAACTGGTGGCACATTATCATGAATCAACCAACCGCTGCATCACCCACAATTCTCTCACTCAACAATGATCTCATCGCATTCGACACCAATATCTCGACATATCTGGGATCTGTTGAGCGCTGGTTTATCACGTCGGGCCTGGCACGGTTCATCGATCGAGTCTTTGTCACCTGCACCCAGTATATCGGGGCCATGAATGAGAATGGAGCGCTGCGCCTCCAGCTTGATGTGCTTGTTCTCCAACAGAACTTGAAGAACATCATCGTCGATCCAACTGGTGATTCGTCGGATTCGGCTACAAATCTACACGCGCAGGCTTCTCAAGAAATTGTTGCTCTACCCCGCAGCGCAAAGTTTCTGGACTGGTTCCTAGAAGGCGCAGAGAAGGCCCTGGACTATGCTAAGGAAGAGAAGGAGGCTTTTGCGTCACAAGGCGACAAAGCCTTGGCTGCTGGAAACGGCGAGCCATTTACCTACGAGGAGCTGCGTGTTCTCGTAGACTTGTGCTTCTCTGAAATCCTCCGTGGTCCACGCGGGGCGGAGAACCGAGAGGACTTTATGTCGGCGAAAAAGGCCAGTGCGGATGCGCTACTAAGGCTGAACGAGATTATGTGGGATGCTCGGTAGTCTTCCAAGGCTGTTCTTTAGTTTTGTTTTTCTTCGATTCGTGGCAAATCCACTAATAGGCTAGGACAGAAGAATCTCATTTTACCTGACTCACAGTCATTTCCTCTTTAATTTAAACAACCTCCACTAACCCTAACTCGGTATAGCACAATGGGTCAAGCACCCTTTTCGGCTGCTCCGGATCATTCACACTGGCCAACGATCCACGCCGTGTTTCACCTTTTGAGTGCAGTTCTTACATCTAAAATGATCAAATTACTAGTTCATCAAGCCATACGGAGTATGAGCATGGACTCCAAGGGCGCTTAGACTTATATCTCACACATCCCATCTTTTTCCTCTCTTTCCATACCTTCTTTTGCTCCCTTTTAACTACTTCCTGTCTGGGACAGTGTAGTATCTCTTTCGAATCTGGCATTCGTTATCCAGACGTCCATTCCTTTGAAGTGCACCTGCACATCCTATCATTTTTAAGAGTCAATCTGTGACTTTCATTCAATTTTTGATACATTGTCTTACAGAACCCTTCGTTATTTACTTCGATCTACATATACGCAATGAAGTATCTTCGCCTAGTCTCCGTGGCCGCTCTTGTTAGCGCTGCTACCGTGTCCGCTGGCCCATTAGGTGCCCGCGAACATGACGGATACTGCCCGAAGGGCTACACTATGAGCGTCTACTACAAGACAGTCACTGTGGAAACCTACCCATCCGCAACCTCTGCGGAATCTACGATCACCCCGTCGTCCACTCCAGTTACTGTCGAGTCTCAACCCTCCGCTGAGCCCACAGAGGCCTCATCCTCTACTGCCATTACCGTGGAGTCTACGACTCCCGTGGCAGTTGTCCAAGTCGAGGCTACGACCTCTTCAGCCTCTGCTGCCCAGACCGAAGCCCCCAAGACCGATCCAGTTGTGGCTATTCTGCCCACTGCCTCAGTTGAGACTGCCGCCGTCATCGAAACCATTCCTGCCCCAGCGGTCAAGACCCCCGTCGCGCAGACCTACACCACTCAAGCTCCCCTAGAAGTCGCCAGCACTTCTACCAAATCTTCTACTTCCTCCTCTTCCACCAAATCCGCATCCACCGGCTCCTCCAACGGAACTCCCGGCAAAGCCACCTTCTACGGCGGCAATGTCGGCGGCGGAACGTGCTCGTTCTCCGGCTACACCCTCCCGAGCCACCTCTTCGGCACGGCCCTCTCCCTCCAGCGATGGGACGATGCCGCAAACTGCGGTGCCTGTGTATCCGTCACCGGACCGAAGGGTAACTCCATCAAAGCAATGGTAAGTCAGGATCTGCCCTCTGCTTCCTTCCCTTGCTTTACATTCCATTCCATTCCAGCCCATCCCATCCCATCAGACTCTAACCCAAACCAGATCGTCGACCAATGCCCCGAATGCGAAAGCAACCACCTCGACCTCTTCCAAGGTGCCTTCGCCGAGCTCTCAGATATCTCCGCCGGCATAATCCAAACCACCTGGTCGTACGTACCATGCGACCTGGACGGACCACTGAAGCTCAAGAACAAGGAGGGCACATCTGCGTACTGGTTCTCGATGCAGGTTGTTAATGCCAACGAGGCTGTGACTGCGTTGGAGGTTAGTACTGACGGCGGTAATTCGTGGCAGAGTACGACCCGCACTTACTATAACTACTTCGAGAACACTTCTGGGTTCGGGACTAGTACTGTCGATGTGCGGATTACCGGTGCTAGTGGGAGCACTGTTGTTGTTAAGGATGTTGGAGTTTCCTCTGGACGTGAAGTCACTGCTGGGTCGAACTTGTAAATTTGTTGAGCGGAGAAGTCTTGTATTTATTTCCTTCAGTTCATATTCTTTATTGAGGTGGCTTGGTGAGGGGATTCCTGTGTTGGGGTTGTTTAGTCCATTGCAACTGAGCCGATCTATAGCAATGTTGATCTACAAGGTCACTCTGTATCTGAAACATATAGTTCATTTGGTCTCTATCATAATTCCGTACTTGGCTGGTAAAGACTCAGTTGTAGACCCCATAACCCGAGTAGGCCATAGTGCAACCCGCTAACGAATCCGTGTTGATCCGCAGAATCTGACATCGGCTAGATATCTCCTTGCGTCTTCACTTCCTTATCAGCCTCGACATTCTCCACATGTGGGTGTGTGTCGAGACTGTGAACCGCATCCTTAGGGAAAGTAACACTTGGAACATCGAGAAGAATTAGCATCTCATGCTAGAAGAAGACCGATAGAGTGTCGAAATAACTCACGCAAAGCCCTTGATCAACCCGTACTCGTGTCCAATGATGCCACCTTGCTTCTGAGCTTGGTCCTTGACACTAAAAAGATATTCATGTATTAGTATAGTATATTTCGAATGACTATCTATCGTGAGATGCATACGCCTGGACCTCGTCGGTGGTTGCGTTTGGCTTGCAGGTGATCTAGAGGGTTAGCAAGATATCTATATTCTCAACATGTTATTTACTTACAATATAGGAAGACATGCTTGGATGATAGAGAAATATAGCGTATGAAAAGAGGAGAAAGTCGGGATGGATTCGAAAGGAAAGGATGTCCACGTTGACATCATAGAGGGGTAACCTATAAGCCGATCAGGGCTGTGTTATCTCCGCTCCGTCAGTGGCTGATCATCTTATCGAAATGTGAATCACTTATGGATGTACATAGGAACTTGTCATCTTTTTTAGGGCAACATATAGGCAGAACTATTCAACCCTACGCACACTTACATAACTCGAAGCGTTCGAAGGTCCTTGACTCGGTTTCGGGACCTCCCGAGCTTGGGGCCCTCACCCCGATGAAACCACGCCATCTGCTTACGTCGTGACTTGGTGAAACTGGACATACAACTACGACACGGTTCCTACAAGGGCGAGTCTAGGAAGAGATAAAATAAAACAGTTTAGGTAAAAGACATATCAAACCGCAGCTCCGTTTCAAGGCAAACCCATCCCAGCCGTAGATTCGCCAGGCCCACAATCCATTAATGATGAAAGAAAGTTAAAAAAAAGAGCACAAAGAACAAAGCCCGAGTAGCGTACAAAGACCTCAAATGTGTGAGCAGAGAATGATCAAAGGGGTTAAGCAACAGCAGAAGAGAAATTGCACAAGTCGCAAGGGTAGTCAGTGGGAAGTGGAACACTCAGAATGCCAGGGGCACACCGTATTGCGGGGAAACGGGGAGTAATGAGAAGCTCATGGTGAGGTCACATCGATTGGAGGAAACATCCATGGTAAGAAGAGAAACATCTGTCAACAGCAGAATAGCAGATTTGAAAAATAGAGAGATGAGGGTATGTTCAAGTCTTGACCTCCGGAACGCAACAAAGTTCGTAGCACATGCAGAAGAATAAGGACGATAAGCCTAATCCATCTCCAGTGACTCTAGCTCTTTTGACTCCTCGTAATCATCAAACTCCAGGCCGGCATCCCGGCAACGCGTCAGCCACTTCAGGGCAATGTTGTTGCGCCGGGCGACCTCGCCTTTGAGCTTGGAGTTCGAGCCGCTGATCTCGGCGATAGCATGATTAGCAGTCAGACTGTGCTTCTCAAATTGCTCGTCGATGTTCTTCTTTTCTTCCTGGAGCTGCAGGATGTATTCAATGGCACGCTGGAGGATCGCGCCCTTATTCTTATCGCAGTTCGGTACAAGACGAGCAATCTGGTTGATACCTTCATTAATAGCCTCGCGGCGGCGACGTTCGACTAGGGGAAGGGGTCAGTATGCAAACATGAACTCGATCGGGAATGTGGTTCTTACCTTCTTTGTGATTGTTCTTGCGGATCTGGTGCCATTCGGGAGAACCAACGGTAGGCTTCTGGTTCATACTCTGAGCCTCGCGCGCGGCATAGACCGCAGCAGCAGTCGAATTGTGGTTGTGAGCACCACCCATGGGAGTCTGGTTCATCTCATCGCCAAAAGATAAACCTTGGGTGAGGTTGCTCGCATCGAAGCCGGAGTCGGGAGGAGGGGGGTACTTGTGTTGAGGAGTGTGTGCAGCCAGGGCGGCTTTGGCATTTGCGGTCAACGCATTATCGTCGGACAGTCCGTTCTGCGGACCAACATGTTGAAGAATTTGTTGATCAATGTTGAGTTCGGCGCCAGTGTTGGGAAGCCCGTGGTCGTAGTTTCCGAGGCCAGAGTGACCAAAGTTGTGCTGGTTATCCATGCTGCCGTTGCTTCCGTGGGAAGAGCGGTTAAGACGCTGCGGGTCGGGACCTAAGTCCTCGGAGCCATCTCTCTTGCGCTTATGCGAGCCGTTATCTGGGCTGTTCATGGTGGGATCAGACATGCTGAGCCCTAAAGCTGATCGTCCTATTCGTGGTAGTGGTTAGTGGCCAGTAAGTGAAAAGTGCAGTGAAACAAGTCTCGGAGAATAAGAGAACAAGATAACGGTATGTGATTGGAGATGTCAATGCAGCCTGCGGGAAGCTGGCGCCTGGCAGATCAAGTCGCTCTCGGGAAGATCAGTGGGCACCCCGCGAAGTAAACAGACGCGTGGATCCGACGCGCTCGTAAGGCATCCCAGGGAGGCCAGTCACGGCGGACCCAGCCATCGCCACTAGGCTTTTCCTAGCGGGCGGCAGTGCATGGGGATAGTTCTACGGGGAAGCGACATTGTCAAGCGATCGCATATAATGCGATGCCTCGAAACATTCGCGGGGTCGTAGATATCAAGAACGCGTCATGATGGCTTGCAGGCAGCTGAGGTCACACAGGGGGCAGCGTCGTGAAGGGCACCACTTGCGATGAGCATCACGACGCGATGCGCATTGACATGGGGGAATCTGGATGATGATGGGGCATTGATGGAGCCGTACCTTGGGATGATCTCTCTTTATCACCTGACAGGAAGTCACCTGCCCGACAACAACAAGACGCAGGTCACGTTGTCTGCGAAACCCCGAGTTCGAAATTGGGACGTGAAAATGGGAAAGTTGAAAATTTGAGGAAGCTGATATCAAGATATGGAAACGACTTAGCAATCTACCTCACGGTAAATTTAGAAATAAGAAAACGTGTTTCTTTAGGAAGATGTAGAGCAGCGGACAAGTTCAAGATGGAGTGCTCACGTGGCAAGGAGGTGGTCAAGAGGAGGAGTCGCGCTGAATCCGGCTGATCAGAACGACCAATAGCGCAATAAGTCACCTGACTGCTCTATTCAAAAGATACACTGACGTAAGCAAACCGCATACCGCAAATGAGCCACCGAGAAGCCGTGAAGGTCTAGACAATTTTGCAGACACGACCAAAGAGAAACGGACAGCAGGAGCTGAAGATAACCAACTAAAATGCTTGAATAGCTCCGGGGATTCTACGCCTCCCTCTCCCATCGCAAGTCATGTGCAGCCATCCCGTGCCCCTCTGCTGCACACCTTCTTTCTTGTTCTCTGATTGGCTGGCGGCTCTCGGAGGGGATTCCCTAGATCACGTGTAGGGGTATCTTATGGGCCAATCACAGGCTCTGTTCACCCACTATGAGGGGGGATCGGACCGTCGGATACAAAGAACTTTATGAATCTACACATTTAGCAAGTAGATGGACGTAGTCTAGACACACTAGAAGCCTGCTAGCTACAAGCGATATACCCGGTGTCCACCCGAAGAGACAATCCGTCCTGGTTTCTCTGCAGGTGCTCAGGCTAGATCCACTAGTGTATAGAATAGTTGCCCCCTTCAACTGGATCAGGAAACACAACAGGGGAACATCCCAGAACACTGGTAGCAACGGGAAAGTCGTGCATTATGTAGTGGGTGTGCTGGTCTAGATTGCGATATAACACGAGTCCTTTTTACAATATGTCCAACTTGCAGAATACTTCGTTTCTAGTTCCCATCTGTTACCTCTGATCCTCATCGGGGCGGGGGAGAGGACAATCACATGTTTCAGACTAAGCATCCTGAAATAGGATTCCCCAAGTCCTTCACACCACCATGTCTCCAAAGGGTTGCATCGGATATCTAAAAGGGTCTTCCCTAGTACATCGCTGCATATTGATGAATGTGAAGACTGAGCGATCATGAGACCTCATAATTCCACCTCGACGCGAAATTAAGCTAAGTATCTGAGCTTTCCCTGAAGATTGCGACGATCTCGATGATCTTCTTCTATATGTCATCACGTTCAAGTCCCCTATCACATGGATTACCTGCACATGATGCGCCTGTGGCAAACGGGGGAGTTCCCATTCTTCGCAGGGAGGATCGCCATAGCAGTGAGCAATATACACCGTCTAGTGTGTATATCCTGGGATTACGAGGGAGGTATCACAGAGACTCGGGTAATTGAAATGCCGTTTCTAATGTCATATCGCAAGGGTGGACCCCTCGATCTAGTCATAGAATCTGCATTATCTGTGGAATAGTCTGACGCGTTCAGTGCGCTCACTCACTCGGACGCCTTTTTCAGTGCAAATACCATTTGCGGATCTGCCGTAGTATCCGCGAAACAAATACCTTCCTCCGCGGCGCCTAGCATGTCCCAGCAAAGTATCTTGATGTCGAATGGGATGCCCGCATCCCCTGTCTCACTTTCCTCATCTGTGTGCGCACCTGACCCTGCATCTTTCTCCGCAGCATTGAGTGTGGGTCGTTGCGTCACAGCAATGATAGCGCTTGTTCCCGCATATCTCGCCGGTGGCTTAGTATCCTCTGTCGGTGCCTCCTCGCCCGACCGATTAGAAAAGACAATGACGATCTTCTTCGGAGAATCTGCCGCCTTACCGCCGTCAAGGTCCACCTCATGTTCCATCCTTTTTTGCAACAGGGGCCAGAACCGCTGAAGCCAATAGTTGAAAGTATCCATATCGGGTTTATCCTTCAACGCATCGAGCTCTTCTCGGCTTAGGGTGGTCAACCACGCCATAGACAGAATGACAAGCTGGGTTTTGGAGTCAAGGACTCGAGTTGCAAATTCACACTTGGCGAATGGCGCCTCAAACTTGTACGGATTGATATCCATACAGATACCAAGCGAAGTCGCGACCCGCTTTTTCTCGGATAAAACCTGCTCACCCTGGTGCACCGGGTTTGTCAAGGAGGATAGCGTGCCTTTAGAATCGAATTCAAGCTCATGGAACCCTCGCTCAACTTGACCTTCAGCCGCCCACGTTTCATCGGTGTAATACAAGAAGCTCTTGCGGTAGTTGAGGATGAACTCCCCGTTCTCGTCGACAATAAAAAGTGAGTTATAGTACGTGACTTTGTCGGGAATTTGAGGATCGTTCTCGATCTCCGGATACCCCACGCAGACCTTGCAACTCAAGCGTCTGGCAGTTTCACGCGCCCACAAGCCAGAGGGGCCGTCGCCGGCTGGCTCGAGATACGGCTTGATCGCTTCCAAAGAGGGGAAGTTATAGCCTAGTTATTTATTAGCGAGTGGAATTTTCCCACAAATTGAGCGGAATGTCCGAGACTGGGGAATACGGGGTTCGTGCTGCTCAATACACGATTGTGGACAGTTCGTTCGGTACATGATGTACGTACCGGTCAGCGCCAACTCAGGCAGCACCAAGATATCAGGCTTCAACAGATCCACCCCGATCCCGAGCTCCTTTCCGTCTACAGCAATGGTCTTGCCAGTCTTCAATAAAGCATTTGCTTTCTCAATATTGCCTTTGAGGTCGCCCAGCTTCGGCGCGAATTGAAGGGTTGCAATCCTCATCTTGTGAGATTGCGAGTTTGAGAAATTTCGGGAGTTAAGAAGTGGCACGTGTTGTGTAATAGGAAGTTTCTTAGTGAGTCGTGAAAGAGATGCGTTTGAACTTGGTGTTCTTGACGTGGGTGAGGTAGGTGAGGTATGAAGTTCGTGTCTTCTGGTCCCAACACGGACACAGCGGGGCAGGATGTTTGCCAGAATGATGGGCGAATTGGAATCCTTGGACTATATCCCAATATACCCGATATAATTATTTATATGTAATGTTCGAGTCCAAGTCGGGTCGGGAGTGATTACTTCTGGGGTATTGGTGTAGTTTGGACGGATATTTTAGGTGGGTCATCTGAAATTTGATGCCTCAGGGATTCATCGTGAATATCCCTCACTTCCTCGACCAGCACAAGCATCATAATTTTTACGGGTCCCAACTGAACTTTCCAATTTCAAGACTATGGAATAAATCCATAGACAGTGGAGCAGTATAGAGTATGAAAAGCATCAAGAGCATGCCAATAGCCGACCGATGAAGTTACCTACGTCGTGCACCAACATTGAACTATGAATGGTACAAACAATGGTTTATCTTCTTGATGTTTAGATTGTACAGTCCTTGCTAGATCCCGAGTCGTCCTCCGATGATGTATTTATGTTGTCTCTTTGATATATAGCCATCTAGCATTGACACCTCCCATATAGTTTTTATGCGTCTCGCTGTGAACTACCCATGTGCTTCTTAGCATCCAGACCTACATTTTAACACACCTTTCAACGTCCCTGTTCTCAACTGCTGTCTGTATTTAACCCAGTTTATGCAGAGGGCTTTGCATCGATCCTTGTTATATGATTACAGTACATGGATTATAAGTATCAAACACAAGGAAATGCCTTCAGCTCCGCTTGCAATCAGGTAATACCCATTTGACTGTGACCCGTCACATGACTCCTGTCTCCGTATAGCTTAGTCTCTACGGACGCCCGTCAGAATACATCATCTTTCTCTTCCCCTTTGCTCTCAGTGCTTACATTGCATCCAATCTGACATTAGCACCTCTTCAGCAGTCGGTCGCTCTTCTGGTCGGAATTACAACCAACGCAGCTCGCAGGTTTCTCGTCTTCCTCAATCTCACCTCTCATCTTCCGTCTCCATTTCTGCACACTGATCTCAAATGATTCCTTAAGCGGAGGCCATCTATTTTCTCTATAGGACTCCGTTAGATATCCATGCTCATCGAAAAATTCGAGGTCAGTAGACTGGGGTAGCATCAATCAGGTAATTGACTGGCTACTAAGATGTGGTCTCAAGAGCTTTGCAGACCTAGTGGCGCTCTCATATTACAGGATATACATTGATGTGCATCGATGTGGCTGGACAACGGGTGTTATTATTGGTTGAGTATACCAATTCACCGCCTCGCTCTCTCCCTCTTCCCCAATTCTTCTCATTTTCTTCCTGCTATTCTACATTATAATCCGATATATAATGTGTAGGGGAAGTTAAGAAAGTGTGTGAGAGGTCACTAGCAATTGATGGCATCTACTTGACATCTAGATGTATGTATGCCTTTTCGACCGTATCTTCTTCCCGGTCTCAGAATCCTGGGAGCACGAATAAAACAGCGAGAAAAAGGGTACAAATACGATCGAGCAAGGCAAGTAAAATAGAAATACAAGTAAAGCAAAGAATGTCCGTCCCGCGATACCATTCAACATTGAAGTCAACACAAAAGTCATACCGAAATCCCATACTGCTGACGGTATTCCCACAATTGGCGTACAAGCCTAATAACCATCTCTTCTGTCAAGACAATATCATGTTCACCTTCATTCAAAGCAGGGCGGCTAGTAAACAGCTCGAAGCGAAGACGGATTTCCTTGGTAGTCACAGTCAAATCTTCTTCGTCTTTAACGACGTGAAATCCAGCAACTGCCAAACTACCACCGACGTTCCATATATCTAGAGCGGCTGTACGAGCAGAAGTGAGAGGCGAGAGGCGAGAGTCTACATTACTAATGCGATCCACTAGCTCCAATACGGAGATTGTAAGGGGGTTCAGTTCATTCTCTGCATCTATATACTTGAAAGAAACAGTAATGACGGCTTGCGCTGATGAGTGGGGCGCTTCTAACCACCCATGCGCATCGATAGAAAGTCGTCTGGCAGATTTGGACGTGCCAACTTCAACAACGCATCTTGGTTGAGAACAGGAGGTCACGAGGAACCAACAGAGATCTGGTTCTTTGACCCAACCGCCAAGTACATTCTTTGGCGAACCAAGCGTTATGCACCCGTCGTCGACATTCATCGCGAGAAGTTGTCGTTCGACGAGCCTCCGTAGTAGGGTAATCAGAATCCCGTGGTCCCAGCCAGGCATGATCTTAACACGTAGGATTTGAGAAGTGGGGAAGTAATGGAACTTTGCAGATTTGCAAGGGCGTGTGTTATCCGCTGACAGGACACTGAAATCAGCGTCACTCACTCCGGAGGACTCAAGGAGCTGGTTTTCGGTTTTGTGCTGGTATAGTAGGTCGTACTTCTGATTTATAACTGCCACGAAGCTTTGGACACTCGTACACTTGATCCGGACGAGCTCTTCTGCAAGTTTGATCCCGGGAATCGCGTTGATAGCATATGGAGAAGAACGTTTGGCGGGGGGAAAGACGGTCCTCTGTTAAGAGGACCTCCTTGGGGCAAGGCCATAGTAGTTGGAAGGAGCGACCGAGCGAATAACTTAGGATCTCAACATGGGGCGTATTAGAAGACTTCCTAGTTCTAGCAAAGACGATGTGCTGGTGGAGTATACCGACTGTGAATTTCATGGTATGTATGCGAAGTGAAATAAATTTTGACGATATCTATTCCGGAGATTAAGGGCACTATGATCCAGATTCAAAAATCTAACGTCAGTCTTAGCATGAATGGCTTCCCATGCTTAGACGCCCTGCGTGTCTTTCTCTTTCTCATCCTTCTTGTCTTTGTCGTTACCTTCCTTCCTTCCGTTCTTGCTCTTAGCCATGTCCTCTTTCTCTCGCCGATGACGTTCAAAATCTAGGGGCACATGTGCAAGCCCACGCGCACCAGTGCGCCGGATACGCTGTTCGGTGCGGGACATAGGTCGGTCCGGGGTATCAGGAGCGTAAGCGACCTCGTATCCTCTGGCGGTGCGATCGAGTGTCAGACGCGAGGGTACATAGGAATTTGGTTGGGGGATATTTCGGGCTTTATACTTTTCCACGATCTGGGCAATGGGATTCCAGTTTGGGTCGTGCCGTGGCTCTCGGATTTTTCCAGTCCAACCGTCGAAGATTCCAGGGCCCGTCCTCAACTTCTCGGCCAAGATCCGTGCTCGAGAAAGGGCAATCTCGTCCTCGTCGACTTGGCGAGCCCGTTTCAGTCGAGCTTCTTCGATGTACTGGAGTTGTTCTTCGGTCAGACGCTTCGGCTCGCACAAGGCCTTGGCTCGTGCAAGCTTTTCTTCCAGCTTTTCCAAGATTGGGAGCTTCGGCATCGGCCGGTTTTCTGCTTTGTAGACGGAGAAATTGAAAGGGACATATTCTTCTACTGTGGAAACTTTGGGCGCCTTAGTACTCGGGCCCTGTTCCCCCGGCTGGGGTCCAGTCTGCTCATCCAACACTCGCTTCTTTTTGAGGACTTCAGACTTCTTGCGCGCTGAAGACACTTGTGAGTCCTGTGGCAGAGGCTCTCCCTCTTCGTGTGCATCTTGGAAATGCACGGACCGCTTGAATGATCCATCTGCTGCAGCGGGGGCTTCTCCTTTCAGAGAGGAGAGCCTCTTGTGCTGATGGGATGCATCTGCATCGGTGGCCTCATGTTGTCGTTTCAATGACGCTTGATGTCCTGGAGCCTCTGAGGGTTCTGGGCCTTGGAACAAGGGTGTTGACGGCTGAGTAGCTGCCGTTTCAGGTGAGTACGTACTCGATGTGGCGTCAAATATTTTAGGCTGCCGAAGCGCTTCAAAGAGAGTCTGGGGAGGTGAAGAGGCGGTCGCATGAGGGTGTGAAACAGACCGACGCATGCCTGAAACCGAAGCGGAGTCGTTGATAGGAGGTGGGCCAAGTATTTGAGCCTGTTCAGGTGCGGGCTGGCTGAATACTGAAGTTTCACTCAGCTTGGGCGACTGTAAACTATCCAAAGACGGAGACAAACCCAATGGTGGGTTCTCGGACGTGGGCGCAGTAGTCGCTGAAATGTCCGCTTCCTGGCTTGGCTGCGGTGCCTTGGGGATTGCAAAGACTGAGTCAGGGACTGGAAATTGAGTTGCAGCCGCGTTCGAAGACCCTGAAACGGTACTAGAATTGTTCACCGAGAATGGCGGCCCGGAACTCGGCGCAGTCGCAGCAGGTTTGCCCGCCTCGGGGCTTGCCTTTGGAAACATGGATGTGGGACCAAAGGGGTCACCAAAGAATGTCGAAGACGCGAAGGGGTTCTTGGGTTCAGCCAACGGTGCGGGAGACGAGACGCTGGGCTTGAACAGCGTAGAGGGCGCCGCAGTAACTGTGGCAGGTGTGTCCGTCTTCTGAGTTGGCTCTGATGGCTTGGGGAAGGAGAATGGGGATGGCGTAGCAAAAGCGCCCGTGCCCGT